AAATTCAGAGTAAGGTTCATTAGCTCCCTGTATTACCTTCGATAATTGACCTTGTAAATCTCCATGTCCTTGTAAAGTCTTCCATGCCCTAACTGCATCTGCAGCAATTTGTGCATATATAGCAGGATCATATTCAATTTGTTGCCGTTGACCCTCATAACGTCCTTTTCCTAACAACATATCTAGATTTCTTTGAGGGTAACCGGCTGCTGCATTTCGCCTAGCCGTCTCCATGCAAAATTCCTCATTTGCAACCTTCCATAACAAATATTGTCCTCCATTTAGCACAGATTTACACATGCTAGCCCAATCTGCTGGCGTCATGTCCAAGTTAGTAATGGATTCAACCATGCTTACAGTGAAGGGTGCTTGAGGACCATATGTTGTTACAGCCTCCTTTAATTGCTTCACTGTTTTGAAATCTAAAGCATGGTGAATTCGCTGCCTTCCTGCCTGCTCAAGTACAGGGAATGCTAATCTTTGAGGTCCTGTCTCAGGATCCCATCTATCAACTACGGGGGTTGAGGGCCACTCAGCTTCTCTATAGGTGGAGCTGTTGGTTGAATTATGCCTTCTGGTGATAGAACGGTGTTAGTAGCAGCCTCCTGTTGTAGCTTTTTCCCTAATAGCCCCTTTTCCTTTAATTTTCTTCTTCTGTCTGAATAGCTCGAGAGACCTTCTCTTTTGCTTGATCTAAAATGTCTTTCTCCATGGTCTAGAGCGCTAACAATTTACGTAACACTCTTTCAGTTTGTTTTTACCAATTTCTAATCTACTATAAAGATAACTCAACCCAATAAGATAACACAAAACAAAACCGAAACAGGATGAAACAATAATGGAACAAAAAATCATTGTATCAATTTTCCTATTTTCTTGACATGTACATTTGTGGTCTATTTCTATCTCTTCCTCAGGGGCGAACAACTTCAAACCTTGAGCCAACCATTTTGCCCAGTTTGCCTGAGAAAGTTCTAGGGATAGGCAGCTTGAAACAAAAACAAAACAAATCAAAACAAGAACACATTGTTTTTGAAATTGTCACCCATTCTCTCACCTTCCCTTAGGGGTGAGCAATTTCACTTACCCCCGAGCTTCAGGCATTCCCCCACGGGCCGCCAAATGCCGCAGTCTGGCTGGGCACAAATCATGAGCCACTGAAGCAGGAACAAACTTTATTTCTGAACTCCATCAGCACACTCCACACATGCTCCCTGGAACCGGAAATATCCCTCCTCCGGCACTTCCCCAACCAATGGGAACTCTCTGGGAATCCCCGCGAGAGCTCAACTGGAACTCAACTGGAACTCCGCGAGAATGCCAGTCACCTCTCAACCACTACTTCTGGCAAAAATGCCATGTGTCATCCCGACTCGGCTGTGGCCCTCAACAGTCTGAATTCCTAGGCTCAAGTTATCATCCTGCCTCAGCTTCCAGAGTTGCTGGGACTACAGATGTGCCAATACCCCAAGTTTGCATATACTTAAAAATATATCAGAATACATTTCCTTCTTTTTAAAAATATTTCAAGGGGGCTGGGGATGTGGCTCAAGCGGTAGCGCGCTCGCCTAGCATGCGTGCGGCCCGGGTTCGATCCTCAGCAGCACCACATACCAACAAAGATGTTGTGTCTGCCGAGAACTAAGAAAAAATAAATAAATGTTAAAATTCTTTCTCTCTGTCCCCCTCTCTCTCTCACTCTCTCTTTAAAAAAAAAAATATTTCAACTGCAAAAGAGTGTCGAATGGTGGTTTCCAGGGGGATAGGGGTAAGGCTAAGTGGATGCAGCAAGTTGAGAGGTAGGTCAGAGGATACAAAATATCAGAAGAAACAAATTTTGGTGTTCTATGCAGCATCATGACTTTAGTTAGTAGTACTGTTTTGTATTCACAATAGCTAAAATTTGTCTAGAAGATTTTCTTTTCTTTTTTACAGTGCTGGGGATCAGAGCAGGGCCTCACTGGGCACAGTAGTGTATACCAGTAACCTCAGTGATTTGAGAGGGTGAGGTAGGAGGATGATACGTTCAAGGCAAGCCTCAGGAACCAAGTTATTGGATTTAATGGTGGAATTCAGGATTTCTATCCCTGTTACATAATAAAAAGTTTGTCTGGTCTTTGTTCTGGGTTTCTGTCACAGAACTTTTAAAACTCTTGGAATTGCCCAAGTGTTAGGAGTGTCTCTGTTGTACATGAACCTCTTGATCATAGCTGAGTTTACATTAATGAGAACAATCCAGGATGAGAACTGTTTACTGGAAAGACCATTTGTGTGATTATAATGCTGGAACTTGGAGCTAGCCTTACCTGCAGGAGGGGAAAGGGTGGAGCTGGAGATTGAGTTCAAACAAGTAGCCAATGATTCAATCACACTTAAGATCATGAAACCCCAGTTAAAACCTTGGACGCTGAAGTTTCAGTTTCCTGGTTGGTGAACGTGCTGATGTGCTCAAGGGTGAAGAACTCTGATTCCACACAGAGGGAGAACAGATACGCTACATTTGAAACTCTTGTAGACCTTGTCCCATGTCTTCATTTTGCTGGTCCCAATTTATATAATTTATAATAAACCCATAATTATGGGTATAGTGCTTTTCTGAGTTCAGGAAATTATTTTAGAGATTTATCAACTCTGAGAAGATTTATTATTTTATTAATAATAAAATTATTAATGTCCTGATAATGAAATCCCCCTCCCTTTTGGGCCAGGATGCAATCCAAGTTCATGGGTCATATGTAGTTTTTCTGTCTCTCTAAAAGTCTCCTTTAATCTGAAATAGTCCCTTAGACTTTTTTTCTTGATATTGGAGGAATTCTGACTAGTTATTTGTTAGAATATTCTTAATTTAGGTTTGTCTGATGTTTCTTCAAGATTGGATTCAGGTTTTACATTTCTTTTTTCTTTTTTTTTTTTTTGGCAGAAATAATTTAAAATTGACATTGTGGCCAGGCATGGTGGCGCATTCTTTTAATCCCAGCAGCTTGGGAGGCTGAGGATCATAAGTTCAAATCAAATTTTAGTAACTTGGCAAGGCCCTAAGCAAATTAGTAAGACCCTGTTGCAAAATGAAAAAATATAAAGAGATCTGGGGATGTGGCTCAGTGGTTAAGCACCCCTGGGTTCAATCCCTGGTAGCGCCCCCCCCAAAAAAAGTTATTGTGTCCTTCTGGAATGGTGCAATATTGGGATATTGGGATTTCTCATTACTATAATGTTCACTTGGACCACCTCATTCAGGTAATTTTGTATTCAGTATTTAACATTCAGCCACATTATTTTTAGAGGCCTTCAAGGTGAAGACACACTGGGATGAAATCAATCTTTCTTTCTGTCTCTTTCTGCCTTTGCTTTTTGCATGCCAAGAACATGCTCTTACACTGAGCTATAGATGTAATCAAAAACACCCAAAAGAGAGGAAGAGCATGAGAAGAAGATTAACATTAAACAAGGATGAGAGGTGGGAGGGAAAGGGAGAGAGAAGGGAAATTGCATGGAAATGGAAGGAGACCCTCAGGGGTATACAAAATTACATACAAGAGGAAGTGAGGGGAAAGGGAAAAAAATACAAGGGGGAGAAATGAATTACAGTAGAGGGGGTAGAGAGAGAAGAGGGGAGGGGAGGGGAGGGGGGATAGTAGAGGATAGGAAAGGCAGCAGAATACAACAGACACTAGTATGGCAATATGTAAATCAAAGGATCTGTAACCGATGTGATTCTGCAATCTGTATACAGGGTAAAAATGGGAGTTCATAACCCACTTGAATCAAAGTGTGAAATATGATATATCAAGAACTATGTAATGTTTTGAACAACCAACAATAAAAACTAAAAAAAAAAACACCCAAAAGAGTTTCGGCACCATAATGAAAGCACAAATAACCAGGACAGGAACAGAACTCATGGATCAGCTTTGTCTTTTATTCAGCAGCAGAGTCAGTCATCAGAGGAGCTCATTTTCTGGGTAGAAAATGGCCCCCTGGTTACAGAAGGGGTCTGTGTTTTAATAGTTTACAATGAGGGTAGCTTAATCATTGGAGACTGCAGCAGAATGTGTCAGTTTGGGAGTCAGGAAAAAAGTTATAAAAAGTCCAAAACTCATTGTTATTGGGAAGGGATGAAAGCTCAAAGCCCAGTGTTCACTGCATATCTTCTTTCCTGGGATCCACTGTTACCCAGAGCTTCACTATTTTCTTTTCTCCTTCCAGGATTCATTGGCAATGGGAAAGGGTGAAAGTCTAGGGCCCATCACTCAGTATCCGCTTCCTCCCTTCAGGACCTATTGTCACTGGGAAGGGATGCATATTTCACCTTCTTCCTTCCTCTCTCCCTCCTCTTAGGTTACACTGTCTTGGTTTTCGTTTTCCATATCCTTCAATAGAGATGGAACTATTTTTTAACAATAATAATTTGTTAGGGTAATAGTTACATATTCCAAGCAATTTTGCATACTCTCACTCAAATTCCCTAATAACTCTCTGAGAAGCCTAATTGTTAGTATTACTGGAGGAGTCGGAATTCTAGAATCACCATTATTTATCATTATGGCATGGCTAAATCAAACAAATACTTATAATACTTATATAATTAAATGGTTGTTTTAGCAGCAGTTCCTTTTGTATTTGGCATCTGACAAGCTGCAGAGACAGGAAGACAAAGGAGGAATTTGGGAGGATCTGGGGCAGAGGAGTGGGAAAGAGGAAGGGAAAAAACAGGTATAGGATTCAGGACAAAGTTGGGACTTAGCAATGATTGGGTTATTAGGACTGGGGATGAGGTAGAAGAAAAACAGTGCAGAGACAGTGGTCAGTCTGGGCAGAGTGGAATCTGGGCTGGAGTGGGAGGCTTGACCAGGGGTTGCAGGACGTTAGAGCTTTGGCTTAGCGCCGCTGTTGATGGGGCGGGGCCTATAGAGGATGGGCGGGGTTGGGGTTAGGTCTCTGGTAGGCGTGATTGACGTAGGCGGGACCAATCGGCGGGTGGGCGTGGCTGATGTGGGCAGGCCCCTGCCGACCTGGTCGAACTGGGCGCGCTTCCGGGTGTCACCCGCAGAGGGCGCCGGGCCGGGAATCGCCCGTTGAGTCGCGAGGCCGGACAGAGCGCGGCGCCGCCCCACTCGCCCCAGCCGCCGCCATGAAGGCCGTGGTGCAGCGCGTCACCCGGGCCAGCGTCACAGGTCAGTCGGGCGGGGCCGGGCCCGGGAGGAGCCGCCCCTGACCCCCGCGACCCGCCGTCTCGCGTGGGGGTTCCTCGGCGCCATCCTCGGGGCTGCTGCGGGCCCCCGGTGAGCTCGGCCCCCGCAGCCCCAGTTCCCTCTCGGCTCCGGGGCAGCGCTGCGGTCGGGAGCGCCCCGCACGTGCCTGGCCGGCGGCCGCGCGCCGCTGGTTCCGGAGCTCCGTTTTGGGTTCAGTTTAAGCGCACCTCATCATCGTTATCATCGTCATTTTTCTTTCTTTCTTTTTTTTTTTTTTGGTCCTGAGTACTGTGTAGCAGAACCTGCGAGTGTCCCCCTGGCCGACTCTTCAGTACACTGTTGCACAAACAACACGTAGGGAGCATTTCCGGAGCCGGGACTCCGCCCTCTTCCCACTGCTCTACCTTGAATGCTGCAGTTTTGCCCGTTTGTTTGCACATCCCAATTTTTATGGAGCTTGACTCCGGATAAGATGCACAGAGGTGAAGAGTTGCTTCTCTGATGAGCTCTGACAGTTGTGTACACGCACGTGACTTCGCGTAGACCAGATGCAGAAGGTTCCCAGCCCCTGGATGCGGGTCTTCCCCATGCTGAACCCTGCCACTATGGGTCAGAACCTAAAGAATTCGAGATGGAACATTTCTCTTTTCTAATTTCTGTGGATCAGGTCACCCAACCATTAGTCATCATTTGAACCCTCTACAACAGGGGTCAAGATAATTAATGTAGATAGTGTAGTTGTTTTAAGTACTGAAACTTTGGTTTGAAAGGTATTAAAAAAATTCAAATAACAGGTTTTATATTGTCTTTAGTCTTATAAATTATTATTGGTAATATTATATTGTTTCAAAAAGGGGTGCCAGCTACTCAGGAGGCTGAGGCAGGCGGATGATTTTAGCCTAGGAACCAGACCGAGGAACATAGGGGTCTCCCTTTTCACAACAACAACAACAACAACAACAACAAAACCACAAAACCCAAAAACATTGTTTTAATAAAAAAAAAAAATTCCAGATATTCTTTCCTTCAAGCCAGTCTATACCAAAGATGTGTTTTTGAGTCCAGGAAGTATAAATGTAAAAACAAAACAACCCCCACCCCCCAAGAAACAAAATCACATGTTAAGATCTACTTTTCAACCTTTTTTAGTAAGCTGTTGGGTAAGTTTGGTTTTGGAATGATCCTGGAATAATAAGGAATAAGGGGTAGGCCAGAACTGGGGTTCTTGGAGTTTTCAAAGGGCTTATAGCATTTCAATTAATATTCACATTCACAAAAACTGGGGGAATTCATAGATAAGACTTTTTGTTTATTTGGGAGAATCTAGCTGTCTGTTTTGTATGGTCATCAACAACAAATTTGAATTTCTGCCCCTTGAACCAATTTCTGTCCTGCAATCTGGAGTATTGACGATATATATTTATTCCGTGAGATTTGCTGAATGGATTTTGAGGGGTTGTTTTTGTTTAGTTTTGTTTGTTTTTGATACTGGAGTTTGAACCCCCGGGCTGTTTACCACTGAGCTACATCCTCAGACCTTTTTTTTTAAAAAAATTTTTTTTTTTTATTTTTAAAATTTTAAGATAAAGTCTTGCTGAGTTGTTTAGGGACTCACTAAGTTGCTGAGGCTGGCCTCAAATTTTGATCCTCTTCTCTCAGTCTCCCAAGTGGCTGGAATTACAGGGGTGTTCTACTGCATCTGGCAGAGTTTGAGTTCTTTTAATTTACTACTTAAATTGTAGGGATGGGGCTGTAGCTCAGTGGTAGACTACTTGAATAGTATGCATGAAGCTCTGGGTTCAATCTCCAGCATCAGAAACAAACAAACAAACCCCCTCTACATTAAATTGTATACTTTTAGTTAAACCAAAAGATTAAAAAAAAAGATAAGGGGGTTAAATTGTGAGAACATGTTAAGTTATTTGGAAATTCTAGATTGGGGAACCATGGAATTCTCAATATGGAGGGACCCTTGAGTTATCTAGACCTTCTAGTTGTAATGGCAAAGGATCTTCTGGATTCCCCAAGAAATTTGAGTGGATTCACTGAAAGTTAGCAGCATTTGAATGATATTTCATTTTAGAGGTTTTAAAACACCACTTCCTATTTTATGGCAAGGACGAAGTAGCAGAACTCACACATCTTGTTATGTGGCAGGTTCATTTTATAAGATTGATCAGGGGCTGGGGTAGAGCATTTGCCTAGCATGCATGAGGCCCTGGGTTCGATTTTCAGCACTACATATAAATGAATAAATAAAAAATACATTTCCATCAACAACTAAAAAATATTAAAAACAAGATTGGTCAGGCACATTTTGATTTTTTTACAATGGTTATTTGTTAAATTTTTTTCTTTTATGGTGCTGGGGATTGAACTCAGTGCTTTTGCATGCTAAGCAGCATTCTAAAACTGAGTTGTACTCCTAACTTTAAAAACTTTATTCAGAAACGTTTCAAACATTCAATAGAAGAAATAACACAGTAACCCCCATGTCCATCACTAAGTCTCAGCAAGTAAACTTGGTGTGTATATAGTGTTTCAGAGATTGTGATGTCTTTAAGGGGTCTCCCGTGCCACTTATTTGTGGAGAAATTGACCAAACATCTCTGCTCTTTTCCAGCTCAGTGACCTTTTTGTCTACAGTGGTGATTCTCAAGTTTTTCCCTTAGAAAATCATTGTTTATCATAAAAGAACCCTTTGAACCTCCAAGTTCTTATGCTTGTTCCTGGAGAAAGGCAAAACTGCTCTAAAATAAGATGGCAATGTCTGTGTCATATATAGACTTCGGGGGCATACTTTATTTCTTATGAAGATAATAAATTATAAAAATGTTGAGAATCTACTCTTAGAAGATAATCCTAATTGTAAAAAAAGCTTTTATGCACAAAGATTGTCTCTACACATACTTATTGAAGGGAAAAATTTGAAACAAACCATGTGTCCAATAAAATGGTTAATCAGTCACTGAATAGGATGCAGCTGTCAAAAGGTGCTCAGGAAGTTTGGCATAGAAAAATTTTTATGCAATGTTAAGAGAAAAGATTAGACACAAAAATTTATATCTAAATATAAAAGTTTTATGATTATAGCAGTTACAAACAAATATGAAATAAAACCAATGAACAGAGAAAATATCAAAAGGAAATCATAGGAACAGCCCACACCTATAATCCCAATGATTCAGGAGGCTGAGGCCAGAGGATTGCAAGTTCAAGTTCATCCATAGCAATTTAGGAAAAAGTTGTCTCAAAATAAACAATAAGAAGGGCTGGGGCTGTAGTTCTGTGGTAGAACCTCTCCCTGGATTCAGTTCCTGGTACTGAAGAAAAAAATCATTAAAATAATAAAGTTTTAATATTTTAAAGACAATTAAAGCTTGTCTTTGGGTTTTGTTTTTTGGGTCCAGGGATTAAACCCAGGGGCATTTAACCACTGAGCCACATTCCCATCCTTTTTATGTATTTTTTAATGTATTTTTTTATGTACTTTTTTTAGAAACAGCATCTCATTGAGTTGCTTAGGGCCTCAGCTAAATTGCTGAGGCTGGCTTTGAACTTGCAATCCTCCTACCTCAGCTTCCTGAGCTACTGGGATTACAGGCATGTGTGACCATGCCCGTCTGTTTCTTATATTTTCCAAGATTTCTGTAATGTATGTGCATTATTTTAATTAATTAAAATCTACTGTGTTTAGAAGGCATATTGACACTGTAGAAAGTGTTGATTTATTTGAAGAACAAATAAAACCAGAAGACTTTTTCTAAAGCAGTGCAGACAAGCAAACCAAGCCCAGTTGTTTACTCTTTATTTGTGGAAAGATTATTTCTGTTTCAACTTTTGAGTCAGTGGCTCACAGGACAATCAATCACAAATAGTCTATTGTAAGAAAATCAGCACTAAAGAAAATATTTTAAAATACTTTTTAGCATAAAAATAAGAGAAATTATATTTTGCTAGTATTTTGGAAATAGATTGATACTGGTGTTCCTCTAGGATCTGAATGTTAGGTGGTCCCTTGTCAGACACTTAAAGAAAGAGGTGAGATTCTCATTCTTTTTTTAACTTGCAGTGTATTGCAATGTGGTATATAGTCTGTGCTGCTTTGTTAAGTATATTTATACATATTACTATCCAGTAGAAGCAAATAACAGGAAACTGGCTGAGTTGACTGTTCTAGTCCTGATTGGACCATTAGGTTAGTATGCAATGCAGTAATCAAACAACAGTAATCTAATGTGATTGGGCAAAAAGTTGTCAAAAAAGAGGACATTATCATGATCACCACTGAGATATGGATTTAGATTCACCGTCATTGTGATGACTCTGGGCCTAAGTACTATGGCAACATTTGTTATATTGTCCACTGTAGTAGGGCATACCTTTGTCTATAAATACATTCGAAAATATAACAGTGTGTGGAAAGAGATTTTCTTTAGTGGATGGGGTGCCTGCTTTAAATGATTTGGAGATCACTGGCTTAGATTGTTACTACTGAACCACACTGGGAAATAACAGCAATTTTCTGAGGTGAAGCTTAATGCATATATTATATTTTTGTTGTTCTCTTTTTTATGTGTGTGTGTGGTACCGGGGATCAAACCGAGGGCCTTGTGTATGCTAGGTGAGCACCTTATTACTGAGCTATATATACCCCCACCCCTTAAAATCATAGTGTTTATGCATAATGTATTTATCTGCTCTGCAGTAAGTAGGAAAAACATTTTTAAAATGATGTGAACATTTTCCATTTTGTGCTTTATGTATTTTGTTACTTGGTTTGCTGATTTCCAAGAAAAACAGAAATCTCTTTTCTAAGAATTAATCTAGCTTAGCTGGATTATTTGTGGGGGAGGAAAACCCTGTTCTGGTTTTACAGATGGCCAAATTTGATCATAGAAAGTTACAGATATTGAGGCTGGAGTTATGGCTCAGTGGTAGAGTGCTTGCCTAGCATGTGGGAGGTACTGGGTTCGATCCTCAGCACCATATAAAAATAAATAAATAAGGTATTTTGTTTACTTACAACTAAAAATATTAAAAAAAGATAGTTCCAGATGTTTTACCCTGTATTACTTGAGGTAACGCATATGAAAATGTTGCCCTAAAATCCTGCGATATAAAATCAGATTGTATGGGAATTATTATCATTCCCTGTATTTGATTTTTGGATATCTCTCAGTTTTAACCAAGGAAATTATGAGAAGTATGTGTGATGTGTAAAATAACACTAACACTCATGACGCCTGTTTGTTAAGTCTTTTTTCCCTTTTGATTCCTTTCTAGTTGGAGAAGAGCAGATAAGTGCCATTGGTCGTGGCATTTGTGTATTGCTGGGTATTTCACTGGAAGATACACAGAAGGAACTGGAGCACATGTAAGACACAAATTTCTCTGTCACTGCCATGTGCATGGGATACATAGTGGTTTCATTGGCAACTTGTATAGTTTTTTGTGCCTTTGAAGGGAGTGAGTCCCTGTCATCTTGGTCCAATCCTCCCATTGGATGTAGTATGGCTATCTTTGTGTTTCAGGTGAGACCCAGGAAGAATAAACTGTCAAACCGCAATCAGCAGCAGAGTGGGAGCACAACTGAGCCTCCATCTCTGTTTGTTACTACATCTGTGAGCTCTGCCTCTTTGTGCAAAACAGGGCCTCTTATTAATGTTTTCTCTTTCTCGCTCTCTTTTTTTTTGTACCAGAGTTTGAACCCAGGGGTCCTTCATTACTGAGCCACATCCCCAGCTCCTTTTTAAAATTATTTTTTAAAATTTTGAGACAGGGTCTCACTGAGTTGCTGAGGGCCTTGCGAAATTGCCGAGGCTAGCTTTGAATTTGAGATCCTCCTGCCTCAGCCTTCTGAGCAACTGGGATTCACATAAGGACCTGGAACTTAGATTAAATTTCTGTCTCCTGGTTTTTCACAGACACTTTAGCAAAAAGCCTGAACCCAAATTAGAATTTGGGCTACTGGGGTTTGAAATTGGTGCTTTTTTACTGAGGGAGGGGAGTTTGCCATTGCTGCTACCTAATACCTGTCTTGGCAGAGTCAGCCCTTCCTGAACTTGCTTTTTTCCCCTGCACCAGTTGACACATTTGCTTCCATTCTGGCCACTATATATTCTGCTCCTTGGTTTGAAGAGCCTGGGTATAACTCTGCCCATTTGTGCCTTTGTTATTATATTGGAAGTCCCACTTGGAACCTAATTCCTACTAAGGTGTCAAGGACTGATAGGACAGTTTGATACCACTATAGGGATGTTAATATTGCACTCTTGGTATTGAGTATTTGACTATCCCCTCCCTGGATGCTAAAAGAGGAGTAGAAGATGGTAGTGGTTAATGACTGAGTCTTTAGGTCTGAGTCTTTCTATGGCTCTGACATATAGACAGCTAATACTTAATTAGTGATTAAGAGGTATGATTCAATGTAAGGCACAGGCTGGCTGTGGAGTGGGGGTATAGTACCCATTGCAGTGGACACCCACATGAAGAGTCAGTGGATTAGGATATTTAGAGCCCTTGGAAATGCCTTTGCTTTTAACATCATTCAAAGTTGGCTCTCAGGTGGTGAAATTTCAGCTTTCATGCAGTCAGTTCTTTTGTAGTTCTTAAATCTTACCTATCCAGTTCCTTCCAAGGGGTGGCTGTCCTTTGTAATCTATAAGTATGGGGAAAGCTCCTCGGGGCTCAAGAAGCACATGACATAATTATCAGGTGCCTTTTCTTAGATCTTTTTGTACATTTGCAATATTTACAAGTTTTCTCTCAGAGTATTTGCATATTGATTATTTTGAATAACTCTAAGAAGGGGTATAAGATGGGGTTTCATTTATTCCTGTGTAAAGATTGAATTCTTCTGTAAAAAATCAGCATTGGATTTAGGTATGGATATAGCCCCTAACTTGAAGGAACTGTCTGTGGTGTGGTTGTCATTTTGGCCTCTGTTCCCACCAGTAGTTGCTGTAAATTGGAAGGACTGACAAAAAAGAAGGAAATCCCCCCTAAAACCATATGAGTTAGGACTGTCATTACCTAGTATTGCAGATGAGGAAAATGAGGCACGGAGTGGATTAGTAACTTGCCCATGGTCACACCATCTGTAAGTGATGGAGTCACCATTAGGTTCTTATTTGGCAGGATACTGGGGACACTTTGGGCTTACAGGGTGTGTTGGGAGCCTTGTGATCCTGCATGTAGCTCTCACCACTCTTTTTCTCCTTAGGGTCCGAAAGATTTTGAACCTGCGTGTGTTTGAGGATGAGAGTGGTAAGCACTGGTCAAAGAGTGTGATGGACAAACAGTATGAGGTGCTGTGTGTCAGCCAGTTTACTCTTCAGTGTGTCCTCAAGGGGAACAAGCCTGACTTCCACCTGGCGATGCCCACAGAGCAGGCAGAGGGCTTCTACAACAATTTTCTGGAGCAGCTGCGCAAGAATTACAGGCCAGAGCTCATCAAAGGTAGGCAGGAGTTGCTGGGGGCATAGCTCAGTGGTGGAGTGCTCACCTAATATGCAAGAGGCCCCAGGTTCAACCCCCAGTACTACAAAGAAAACAAAGTAGTGAAGAGAGTGAGCCTGCACCCAGAAAGTGTGTCCCTGGGACACCTCCAAGTAGAGGGAGAAGTAAATGTACAACTGAAGCATCTCTTTTTCTGGAAAACCATTGTTTATATTTATTGCCCACTTAAAATGAAATAATAGCTGTTACTGCTGTTTCAGCTGTACCCAACACATGCCCTCTGAATGCTCTTGATACTATTCACCCTTCTCCATTCTTTTGTTTATATTTTGAAAATGTTTAAGAGCCCAGAGGTGTGTTTGATATTGTGATGTTTCTTTGATTGTTTAGATTAGCCTTATCTAATAGAAACAGAGTGTGGACCCTAAATGTGAGCCAAATATGTCATTTAATTTTTATTTTTATTAATTATTTTTTGTTGTTCTTGCTATCCTGGAGATCAAACATGCTGGGCAAGTGCTCTACCTCTGAGCTATACCCACAGCCCTGTCATTTTAATTTCTTTTTTTTTTAATATTTATTTTTTAATTCTTGGAGGACACAACATCTTTGTTGGTATGTGGTGCTGAGGATCGAACCCGGGCCGCACGCATGCCAGGCCAGTGCGCTACCGCTTGAGCCACATCCCCAGCCCTCATTTTAATTTCTAATAGCTATAATAAAAAAAGTGAAAGGAGGCTGGGAGTGTAGCTCACAGGTAGAGTGTGTGGTTAGTATGCATGAGGCCCTAGGATAGAACCCCAATTCCCCACCCCCCAAAAAAAGACAGTAAAATGAGCCAAGTGAAGTTGCTTTTAAAAGTATACTTTATTTAACCTGGTTCAGAATATTATAATTTTTTAAACATGTAATCAATATAAACATTCCGAGGTAGTTTACATCCAATTAAAATGCTTTACATTTCTTAGAGCAGTATGAAGTTCACAACAGAATTCAGAGGAAGGTAGAGAGATATCCCATATACTCCTCCCCTACACATGCAAAGCCCTCCCATTAGTGGTATCTCCCACCAGGGAGACACATTTGTTACAACTGATGAACCTCCACTGATGTGTCATTTTCAACCACAGTTCATAGTTTCCATAAGTGTTAACTCTTGGCTCTGTGTGTTCTATGTGTTTAGATAATTTTATAATGTAATGTATCCTCCATTAGAGTATCATGCAGAATATTTTTACTACCTTAAAAATCTTTGTGCTCTGTTTATTTATTCCTTTCTTCCCACAACTCTTAGTGACCACTGATGTTCATTTTATCCGGAGTTTTAGCTTTTTCCAGAGTGTCATACATACAGTTAGAATTATGTAGTATGTAGCCTTTTCAGATTGGCTTCTTTTACTTGGCAAGAAGCATTTAAAGTTCCTTTTTCATGACTTTATTGCTCATTTCTTTTTAACACTGAATAATATTCCTTTGTCTGGATGTACTATAGTTCATTTACACTTCGAGTGTGATACCTTGCAATTGGGTCTGAGTGACATCTGCACAAAGGCGAATAAATTCTGAAAGGATCCCCTTTTCCTCTGGGGTCTGAGGATGTTCTGGCAAATTTTATTTGCATTTTCGAATGCTAGCTACTTAATGATAAATTCACAGGCATCTGGATCCCCTATTGACCTGTTAGCCGTTTTATACAATTGATCCACAAAGTGCGAAAATAATTCTTCTGAGCCCTGTTTTATCTTAGTCAAAACTAAACTAGACTGGACCCAGGAAGAGATTTGTTGCCATGCCCGTTTAGCACATGAAGTTATCCGATCATAAACTGCAAATTCATAGTTGAGCTGTCTTTCTAAATCCGAGAATTCACTAATTCCCATTAACATCTCTAAAGGGGTTTCAATATTTTGTCTGTTTCTCTCCGCCTGCTTGGTACAAAAATCGGTCCAGTAAGACCACCAGAGAAGAAAGTCGCTGCCATTTAAACAAGCTCTGGCCATGGATTCCCAATCTCAAGGTGGAAGAGGTTCTTGACAGCCCAAGTTGAGCAAGTTTTGTACAAATGGTGAATTAGGACCATAAATATTATAAGAGGTTTTTAACTCTTTTATAGTTTTAAAAGGAATTATAGCATGTATGCGGACACGCTGATCTTGTTCGTTAACCTGTTCAAAAACTGCAAAAACTGAAATCTGGTAATATCTTCTCCCGCTTCTTGCGCCCTCCTGAGTCCGCGTTGTAATTAATGGTGTAAGCAAAGTCATAGCCAATTCAAAGTACCTATCAAAGCCTGTTCTTCCAGCTGGAAGTGGCCTTGACGGGTGCGGGTCCCGCTAAATGCAACCTAGCAAAATTTACTGGTGACTGGGTTCCCTCCAACTGGGATTCTTTGTTTACTGCTCAGTCTATTTCTCTCCATTTTGAATTTGTCTCACAAAGCTTCTATTGGGACTGTCTCTCTCTCTCTGGGACATGCCCCTTGGCTTTCCTTTGAATTACTAATCTGTTTAGTTTGGTTGAGCCTAAACTCTTAGTTTTTGGTCTCACTCTGAGGTGATCTGCCTGGTGGGTGACTGAGTGAAATTTGATTCCTACTCTCAATCTAGGTATAAGGAAGAGAAATTATTTTTTTCGAAGAATTAGCCTCAGGCTGTTTTTCTTGCTCTATACTCTTAATTGCCCTTTGGAGCCCTTTTAAAAGATCCTGGGTGGGGGGGGCATTGACCTTGATCTAGATCATCAAAAATACATTTCTAATGTAGTTCACACTTTCTGTATACTGTCTATCGTACCCCTAGACAATTCGGCAGAGAGACAGCCTTTATATAATTTTCTTGCTAGTCTCTCCCAAGTATGTAAGTCTGGTAAATCTTGTTCACAAAACCATGGGCAAAGCTCGCTAACCGATTTTAAGAACTGTGCCAGCTGGCTCTTTTTCACTTGCTTTCCTTTCCGGTTAATTATAGTTTCCAAAATGGTTAAATGTCTTTATCTGTTGATAAGATAAATCATAAATCTTTAATGTCTTTGGCTCTAAAACTGTCTGCTTCCTCTGTGACCCTTCAAAAAAAATTTCATGGTCCAATAAATTTTTATAGCGGGCTTCTCAATTCTACCTGGTATTTCCCCTAGAGCAGCTCCACATTTATGGGAGCCACTTGCTGCCGCCTACCACCTGTGCTGACAGCTAAACCAGAGGTCCCTTGAGTGAACTCCTTAAGGCATCAAATAAAACACAGACACACAATTTACCTTTAAATCAAGCCCCAGGACAGCTCTGCCCTCAAGCTCCCCAAATGGGAGAGCGAGGAATCTCAGAGAGCGAACACATTTCAGAGTGGACTTTTTATTGGGGGATTCTAGATTCTATAGAAATTTCCATCCTATGAAGGTCAAGGGTGGGCAGGGTTACAAGGACAAGTGAGACTAGGAAGGCACGCCCATTCCCGAAGGCACGCCCATTCCCGAAGACACATTTGCTTTTTTTTTCTACCCTCAAGATCGGGGCTACCATCTTTGGCTACTTAAAAGCAGCCAGATCACGGGGTGACTGACAGTGCCTCAGCCAACCAGGAGGGGAAGCAAACGCTGGTCACATGCTATGATGGCTTCCCACACATTTATTCACCTACTGAGGATATCTTGGTTACTTCCAAGTTTAGGCAGTTATGGGTAAAGTTGCTGTAAATATCCATGTGCAGGTTCTCTGTGTTTATAAGTTTTTAACTCCTTGGGATTGATATGAAGGAGTGCAATTGGTAGATCAAATGGTAAGATGAATATGTTTAGTTTTGTAAGACACTACCAAGCTGCCTTGCAGAATGGCTCCCCAAAAAGAAACGGGAATTCCTATTGCTCCATATCCTCCACAGCATTTGGTATTGTTGTTGTTTGGAATTTTGGCCATTCTAATAGATGTATAGTGTGTCTTGTTTTAATTTTCATTTCCCTTGATATATGATGTAGAATATCTTTTTGTATGCTGATTTGATATCTGTAAATTTTCTTGGTAAGGTGTCTGTTAAGGTTGTTGGTGCATTTTTTTTTTTTTTTATGGTGCTGGGAATTGAACCCAGAGCCTTGTGCATGCGAGGCAAGCACTCTACCACCAATGTTAATAGTGTCAGTTTCCCAACTTTGTTTTTCTCTTTTATTTTTTAAAAATTTGTTCTAATTAGTTATACATGACAGTAGAACACATTTTGACACACTGTGCACAACTGAGCTATATCCCCAGCCCTTTGGCACATTTTAATTGGACATTTGTTTTCTTAATATTGGATATTAAGCATTCTTTGTATATTTTGGACACCAGTCCTATATCAGATATATTTTTGCAAATTTTTACTTTACATGTTTGTCCTTTATCAGATATGGTTTTTTTTGCTTCGTGAGTTGCTGGCATCATAGGTGTGTGCCACTATGTCTGGCTCAGAAATGTCTGTTGCAAATATTTTCTCCCTGAACGTTGTTTGTCTTTTCATTCTCTTACAATGCCTTTCACAAAGCAGAAAGTTGAATTTTAAAGAAGTCTACTTTATCAGTTCTTCCTTTCATGGATTTAATTGTATCTAAAAAGTCATCATCTAGATTTTCTCCTGTTATCTTCTAGGAGTTTTATAGTTTTGCATTTTACATTTTGGTCTGTTCTGAGTAGTTTTTGTGAAGGGTATAAAGTCTGTGTCTTCATTCAGCTTCTTTGCTGTGGATGTTCAATTGTTCCCTTACCATTTGTTAAAAAGATTCCTTTCTCTGTTGTATTGCCTTTGCTCCTTTGTCGAAGACCAGTTGGCTGTGTTTATTGCAGTCTATTTCTGGGCTTTCTGTTTTGTTCTATTGATCTATTTTTCTATTTTTTGACCCATACCATACTGTATTAATTACTGTAACTTTATGATAAGTGTTGAAGCCATTAAGTGTCAGTTCCCCAACTTTGTTTTTCTCTTTTATTTTTAAAAAATTTATTCTAATTAGTTATACATGACAGTAGAACGCATTTT